GAAACAGTTATATTTTTAGTAAGCAAACGTCCGCCGGACGGAAATGCGCAAAACGCATGATCGCACCGGCTGTCCTGGTGCGCTTCGTTATTTATTTATTTTTTCACGGCGCAAGTTGCTCTGATAGTGCATTTCGGAAGGTAAGCAAGACGGCCACTACAAATATGCAGTGGAATTTGGTTCAGATCCAGTGAAAGAACAGGAGAATATTTTATGGCGGTAACTGATCCGCACAAGAAAAAAAACAAATATTTTTGCCAGCACTCATTAAAATTCAACGACCCGGCACTAAGTATATGAACACGTGCCCATAAAATTTGTGGTGGTGAAGCCCACCAAATGAGTTAGCAAAGATGGTTCGCATTCAATTTATGATTGACATTCGAATGTCTTGGCAAAAAACAGGATCTTCAGCAGTAGACTGACCATCAAACTTGCAACACTGGTCAAAGTCAATGGGAATGTTGTCAAGTGCATAGTTGTGGGATCATACTACGAATTAGAACTGATTATCCAACTATACCACGCACAACTTGTTTTTGGCATAAATCACTCTATGATTAATCGTGTGCATAAAATAAGATTTGACCGTACATGAGTGAACTAGGATTTATCGTAAATAGAAGCTAATGTTGCCTCAATACCAAGTAAATCGAAAATCCGAAATCCTTGTGCATCTAGTGCCCTTTGTCGACCAAAAAGATCAATATAACGAGATAAGAAACAATCCCGCCCCGTACCACAGCACTGAAAAATTCATTCAAAAAAATGCATATGTGCCGTTGTTTCGGTTAAATCTCATCACAGCCAAATGTACCCTAGGGATTTCAACTTTTAGTAGAGTTCAGCAGCAAGAGCATCAGCAGCAGCTTTAGGATAGAAAGTTACAGGAAGCAGTGTGGAAGAAGCATCTGTTATAAGCTAGGGAACGGCTTGCAGAATACACACGCACGCGCACACACACGCACACAACGCAACTTCTTACCAGTAATCCTCTTCAGCATACTCCTCAGCACCGGCTGTGAGCGCAGAATCCGGACTGTACATGATTGCTGCTGGTGCTGTGCACGACAATGGCTGTACACCCATTAAAGAGGCAACTGCTAGCACCGGTGTCGTCTTTGAGGGAGCATTTCCGGCCCCGGAAGATGGGTTGCTGCCGCTGTTTTCCTTTCCTGCCTGTTGTTTCGCGAAGTTCGCAGCTCGCCTGCCAGTGCACGTTGTTACGGTTTTTTTCATGTCATATTTGAAGATATAGATTTTTGGAACTGCTACAATTTTGCTTGTTTCGTGACCCTAGCCGCACAAATGCCCTGTTGGCCTCAACCGGCCGACAGATAACCTGCTCCATTTCCTAGGGCCAAAAAGACCACATGTCTACCGACAATTTTCGCAAATGGAAAAATTACGTCGTAACGGTTTTATTCTGGACGGAGATCAGAATAACCGCGTTAGAAACGTGAATGAAATTAAGTGCGCCTAAATGTAAACTTCCTCTGTTATATATACGAAATCCCATATGCGGTGTTACAGCCATACCACCGCTTTACGGCCAGCACCACATATCAATTTGGTGCCTTTAAAATTAATCTGAACGAGCAA